GAACGGCTGCAGCTTTGCTGCCCCAGGCTGCTGCCAAAGCCTGGAAAGCATCACCCGTGCCAGGGGCTGCGCTGCCCCAAAGCAGCCACCGGCGAGCATTGAAGCTGCGGAAAGGAAGCGTTTCCTGCTGTCACACGGGCGTTTCTTGCGTGGCAGAAGGAGAAGGGGGCTTCCCACGCAGTGTCCCGGTGGGATTTCGCATCCAGGGCTGCTCTGTAGGGGATGGGGCAGCTCCGAGCCCCTCTCAATGCGGGCAGAAAGCCCATTAAGTCCTCAGTGTTGATGCTGCTCGGGGTCATTTTCCATGCCTGGGTTTGGAACCGGGTGAAGCTGTCGCAAGCAGCCGACGGGAGCAGGAAAGAGCCGGGGTGAGGGGCGGCCGCGGGCTGTTGGTGAAGCGAAACCGCCGTTGTTGTTGTTGTTGTGACACCGCAGGGTTGCAAAACCGGCGCTGAAATACCCGTGACTCACAAAGCAAAACGAGCCCGGCTGTAGCCGGTGGCCGCCTGTCCACCCGCGGTCCCTGCAGCCCCTTCCCCACCGCATGGGCACCACTGGGATGCCGGTGCCGATGATGCTTGGGGGGCTTTTGGAGGGGGAAGCACCCCAAAAAGCTTTTCTTGGGGGGGGGGAGCAAAGCTTCCCCATCTGCACAGGGTTTTCTATGATGAGGATCTGCCCCTACGTGAGATGCAGACCTTGAATTCCACATAAAGAATTTAGTGTGTGTGTGTATATATGTATATATATATATCCTAGGGATATCTTGCTTTCTTAGGGGTTTAAGCTTTATTTGCTTAGAGACCAAGTCAAAGCAGCTCCTAAATCGTCCCCCCACCCCTGGGAGCGGGTGGCATTGTATGGATGGTGGCAGTGGTGGCTTTTTGCCCTGTTCCCTGCCATGGATGGGCCGGGTTCAAACACCTCCGTGGCATTAGATCTCCTCCAGGATAGGGCTCAGAGAGGGAGGAAGGGGCTGTGATAAGGATGGATGGATGAGGGAAGGGGTTGTGAGGTTGCAACCTCCGTCACTGCCCATGCCCAAACCAGGCTGCTGCTCTGTGGGGCTGGTTCCCCAGGCTGGGAAACAGGTTAAACTCCTCCATCTGGGAGCAAATATCAGCCCAGACCTGCATGGACAGACATCACCTTCCCTGGGGGCTCGGGCCCCAAAGGAGCTGATGTTTCTGGGGCTGGAGCAAACCCCTCTGGCTGTTTTATGCTTTACTTCTGGTGCTCTCCAAGCTCGCATCCCCCAAAATCAGGGAGCCCCAGGCAAATCCCCAGGTTCCCAGCATCTTCCTGCCTGCCCCATGTGCTTTCTTAGCAGTGTGGGATAAATCCACCCGTGTTGTGTCCACAGTGCCCTTTGCTTTTGGGGAAGTGTCACTGGGACCCTGTGGGAACAGGGAAGGAATAGGGGGAGGTTTTCCCCTTTAGGGCAGGGATGCTCAGCACTCTTCTTGGCAACCAGCACCTTCCCCCCTGGTGTTCAGGCAGCGCTGGCACAGGCAGGTGTAAACAGCCATACAGAAATAGTCGGGGTATCAGGCAATATCAAGAGGTGTTGCTGGGCATCATCAGATGTCCTCCTCTAAAAATAAAAGGCAGCGGGTATTAAATCAGCTGCTTGTAAAGGTGTCGGGGTGGGGATGACTGGGGGTACCCAGCTCTGCTCACCCAGGAAGAGCCCCAAGCTTGGGGGGACCCCATAGCTCGGGGTCCCTTTGGGATTGATGCTGATCCAGCTGCATTCCTGCCGTCCCCCCATGCTGGGTTGAGCTTTATTTTCCTCATTGCAATGGCTTTTTGCTTGTCTTAGGAGTCGCCCATTGGGTGTCATGAGTTGCCCATTCTCAGGCTGTGGGTGGTAGCCAGGCAAAACCAATGCCCTGCAGGGTCGGATCCGGATGGAGGAGCAGGGAAGGTCACATCCTGGCTGTGAAAGCTGGCCCGGTGGCTGTCCTCTGATCGTTGGAGTCAGAGCAGCTCCCGGGGACTCATTAAACCTAATGAGAGAGTCCTGAGCCACTCGTTGGCACTAATTGCCAAGGCTGCGTTAATTCGGCTTCCCCAGCACTGGCCAACTCGGGACACGTGTGGGAAAGGATGCACGGAGCTGTCGGTGGGGATGGGGCTGTCCCTGAAGGCATCAGGGGGGGTGAGAGTGGCACCATGGGGGAGATGGATCCCCGGAGGGTGACCCCATGGAGGGAATGGGGGGGGTTTCTCCAACACCCCCCCCCCCCCGGGGTGTTTTCAATGCAGCAGTCGGGACTGGCTGTCCTGGAATGGGTTTATTCCATCACAGCAATGATTAACTGGTGGTGGCGCTGGCCCAGAGCTGGGCAATGTATTTACTGCTGCCACCCAACTGTGACCTCGGTGCCACTTCCTTCACCTCTTTGCCTCCCAAAAATGGGCTGTAAACAGGGGCCACAGCTGAAACCCAAGTACGTGCTCAGACCAAGCTGGCACCTGAATACTTCCTCCACGTGGCTGGCCTGATGGAGAGCCTGGCATTGCTCAAATCCCAGTAAAATCCCCAAGCCTGATCTCTCCCATTGGGTTTTTGGGGCTGGGGGGGATGCTGGATCCCAGGCACTCAGACAGTTCCCAGGGGTTTGGAGTGCTGTGGAACAGGGATAGAAGCTGCCAGCCATAGGGGCCCATGGGGTGCTGTGTGGTGGGAAGGGAAGGGTAAGAGTAGGGGAAGGGGAAGGGGAAGGGGAAGGGGAAGGGAAGGGGAAGGGGAAGGGAAGGGAAGGGAAGGGAAGGGAAGGGAAGGGAAGGGAAGGGAAGGGAAGGGAAGGGAAGGGAAGGGAAGGGAAGGGAAGGGAAGGGAAGGGAAGGGAAGGGAAGGGAAGGGAAGGGAGAGGGAGAGGAGAGGAGAGGAGAGGAGAGGGAGAGGGAGAGGAGAGGAGAGGAGAGGAGAGGAGAGGAGAGGAGAGGAGAGGAGAGGAGAGGAGAGGAGAGGAGAGGAGAGGAGAGGAGAGGGAAGGAAAGGAAAGGGAAGGGAAGGAAAGGAAAGGGGAAAGGAAAGGGGAAAGGAAAAAGGGAAGGGAAGGGAAGGGAAGGGAAGGGAAGGGAAGGGAAGGGAAGGGAAGGGAAGGGAAGGGAAGGGAAGGGAAGGGAAGGGAAGGGAAGGGAAGGGAAGGGAAGGGAAGGGAAGGGAAGGAAGGGAAGGGAAGGGAAGGGAAGGGAAGGATTTGCTCTGCCGGGACGCGGGGCTGGTGCCACCTCGTGGCTCCCCCAGCAGCTCAGAGACCTTGGCCGCGTGGTGGGAGCCCCGCACGGGGGCAGCTGCTCAGCCCCGCAGCCATGGGAGCGATGCCCTCAATCCCAGCCCACGCCAGCAGCAAGGCGGAGCGCAGGGGGGGGCCGCCTGCCCCTGCTGCCTCCTGCGGTAGCTCCCCGTGCCGGGGCTGGGAGCGGGATGGAGGGGAGCCCCTCTCCAAACCCGCCTGCAGCAGCGAGGCTGCGGCGGGCACCGGCGCTGCCGGGCCGGACTTCCCCCCGCTAACCCCATTGCGTTCTTCTCGTCAGGTTTTTGCACTCTCAGCAGGTAAAGAGACGCCTCCAGCCCTTGTGGCAGGGCAGATACAACCACAAACCGCTCTTCATCTTCAGCAGCATCTCCTGTTCGGTTCCACATGAGGCCCACAGCAGCAGCATGGCCCCGTATGCGGGTGTAAGAGGTCCTGCCTGTCCCCAGTCACTCCCAGTCTCATCCTGGCTGCATCCTTGCAGCTCTGTGGATTGATGTAAACTGCATGGATCGGGCCAGGGGAGCCAGAGGAGCCCTGCTGCTTTGTGCATTTCTTTTATTTATGTTGTTTTCCCATTTCTTTCTTACAGGTTTTAGCTCTTGCAAGTATAGAATCATAGACTCATAGAATAGAAGTAGATGGTGTTCAGTGCTGGGGCTGTTTGAGCCCCATCCTGTGGGGGTGATGCTGGTCCTGGCTGGGGCAGGAGGGCAGGAGGAAGCTCTGCCTCTTCTCCTGATCCTGCCAAAGAAACACATCCCAGGCTGGACTTTGCATCCATTTTCCTCCTTTATCACCAACATCAGGTTGAGGCTGGGAGGTGCATGGCCAGACCCTGGCCCCATGCAGTGCTGCATCTGGAGGTGTCACCTTCATGTCCTGAAAACGAGAGCCACCACCTCCCCCCCCCCAAAGTGATGCTGTGACCATGAACCCATGGGGTGGGTGCTCAGCATCCCATGGGAAACCCCTCTGCCATCCACCCCTGGGGCTGGTTATGGCACCGCCTTCTCCAGCGATGGGTCCCTGATGATGATGGGTTTGTCGGAGATGAGCAGGGCAATGGGGACCAGAGCCTGGCCGAGCTCCCCACTTCCCTCCTCTTCCTTCTCCTCCTCCTCGGATGGGTGCCCGGTGTAGCTGGTGCTGCCGGGCACTGGGAATCCTGCCGGGCTCAGCACCTCCTGCCTGCGGTAGGCAAAGGGCAGCTCCTCGCAGCCCAGCGGGCACAGGGCCACCGGTTCCTCAGCCACGGGGCCAGGCTGTGGCTCGCTGGGCTCTGTGCTGCCATCAGGGCCCTCCTTGCTGGGGTTCAGCTCCGTCAGCAGCAGCTCAGCAGGGCTGAACCTCTCCGAGGGCTCCACAAAGCCTGGCCAGGGCGGGCCCTAAGGGTGGGATGTGTTTGGAGTGGGAACATCGCACACCAGGAGCCTGCTGGGGTGCAGGATCCAGGCTCTCCTGCAGCTTGCGTCTCACCTGGCTTGTTTCACTGGTGCAGAACTGGATGGCTTTGCTGCCCGCGGGCTTGGGCAGGGGGGGGAAGAGGAGGCCCCGAGCCCTGGGGAGGGGAGGGAGGGTGATGGTGATGGTGATGGGGGGAGATGGGCAGGCGGGTGACCTGGGGGTGAGGGTGCCACTGTCACCTCTTCTTGTTCAGCTGGTAGATGGCAGCCACGGCGGGGACACCGAGCGAGATGCCCAAGTACTTCAGGTTGGGTTTCCACGCTGCTCCCTGGGGACCTGGAGGTGAGGACAGCGGGGTGGTGGCATTTCTGTCCCCAGCACCCTGCATGGGACACGGGAGCTGTTTCAGGATGAGGGTGAGCACCCCATGGGGACTGGGGAGGGGACAGGGCCTCCAGTCATTACCCAGTGCCTTGGTCTGGAAGTGCCACCAAACACCACAGGTCCCTCTGCTCTCTGCTGTCACCTCCTGAACGCTCACCCTGTAGGCTGTGCCGGGCTGTAGGTGCCGGAGGGTGTAGTGTGATGCTGTGATGTCTGCTTCGCCATCTGGGTGAGCGATGGTGAGCAGGGAGTAAGTGTGCAGGGTGCAGGCAGAGCCTCCTCTGGCCCCATTGGGATGGGGGGGTCCCACTCACAGGTCACGTTGTCCCCCTCAGCCGCATGGCAGATGAGGTACTTGGACAACACCCCAGGACACATGGCCCGGGGGGACGGGCTCCACTGGAGGGTGATGGCAGCATCCTCGGCGCTGGCATTGATGCGGATGGGCACGGCCAGTGAGGCTGCACATGATGGTGGGAAATCGGGGGGTGCAATTAAATCGGGGAGCACTTTGGGACCCCCCATTGGAATGGATGCTCTGTGTTCCCATACGTACTGTTGCTGGCATAGTGGTGCTGCAGGGCGAAGGTGGCCCAGCCCCGTGCTGGGGCCCAGCCATGCACGGCGAGGCGGTGACAGGCCTGCACTTCCAGTGCTCCTGGGGCAGGAACCGGGAATGCCGGTTAAACCCTCACCAGGATCCAGCCCCAGGCAGTGGGGATGGGGATGGGGAATGATGCGGGGCACTCCCTTGCCTGTCTCCACATGGATGCTTTTGGCAGGAAAATCCCCTTTGATGCAGATGCCCGGTTTGGGGGCTCCTGGCAGCGGCTGCTGCTCGAAGCAGTAGAGAGAGCCGGGGCTCGGTGCTTCCCAGTGCACAGTCACGGTGCCACCGGTCACGCTGACATCCTTGAAGCCAAGATCTGGGATGAAATGCAGGGGGTGAGGGAAAATCACCCCCTGGATGCTGCCGGGAGCCGGGTCCCTGTGCGGGGCCGGTACCTGGCCGCTGCTCTGCGGGCACACAGAGCTGCCGCGCTGGCCCTGGCCCGGCTGCATTGGCTGCGCTCAGCAGGATCTCATACTCAGCCCCGGACAGGGTGAGGTTGTGCCTTGTCACATCCCTCCCAAGGACCACGGTATCCTCCTTGGGTAGCCTGGAGCAGTGACATGCTGGCATGTGGGCACGCAGAGTGTAGGTGATGTCCCCTTGCTCCTCTGGGGCTGGCTGCGGGAAGGAGATGGGATGAAATGGTGTGGGTTAGGGTTAGGGTTAGGGTTAGGGTTAGGGCCTGCAGGGGATGTCACTGTACCTGCCAGCTCAGCCTCAACACCCGCTGCCCATCTCTTCCCAGTTTTCCCAGCTGGTAGCTCAGCACTGGGCTCTCCAGGATTTCTACAAGAGGAACCAGGCTGGTTGGTTATGGGAGCCATTGGGATCCCACCTCCCTCCCCTCCCCTTCCTCACCTGCAGGGATGAAGATGGAGCTGCTCCAGTCACTCCAGTAGCTGCTCCAGTGGGGGAGCTTGTGTCGGAGCTGGACCTCGAAGGCGCCGTCCCCCCCCAGGGTGCAGGTCACTGGAGTGGGGTAACAAGGTCAAGGTGGAGGGTGACCCCTTTCTCCTCCCCCCCCCCCCCCATTTTGGCCATTGTGGGGTGCTGAGGGGCTGCAGGGGGAGCACAGGGCAGGTGCTTGTCCCTGCTAAACCGACCTGAGTCATCCTCGTCTGTCCCTGTCTCGCACATCACCTGCAGAGAGAACCAGGAACGGAGGCACCCAGTAAAACCAGGATGGTACTGGGATGTGAAATCAGTGCTACCCTGTGTCCCCTAAACATCCCAGGGGCTGGGAGAGCCAAACAGGATGCGGTGATCAAGGAGGGTCCCCTCAGCCAGGGCAAAAGGCCTTCATCCCTATGACCCTCCCAACAGCAATCAACAAGGGCAGGGGATCCTCAGAGGGGGTTCCCTGGGGACAAGTGTCCAGATTTCATCTGTCGTCATCACTGGTATAATCTGGGGTTTTGCTGTGTAATCCCCCACGGGTCGCAGCCTGATCCTGTTACAGCAGCAGGATCCTGTGGCCGACAGGATGGGGCAGAGCTGATAACACAGTGAAACAGATGGGACATGGCCAGGTTTTGGGGGGGGGACACAATGATGACAGTGGCATGACCAAGCCCCCACTCTCCCTGGGCTGCCTGAACTGCCCCAATGCTCTGATTGTCCCATTGGTCACCATGGGCTCTGGCAAACTGAGGTTTACCTGTGTCCAGCCATGGGCTCCCACCTTCCGGAATCGAGCCTCCCGCTGCGGTGGCTGGTTCCCGCTGTGGCACAGTGGCCGCGGCACCCGCAGCCGGAGCCGGTTGCTGGTTCTGGTGAAGGGCATCCCAGTGGAGGGTGGATCTGGTTTGACTGCAAAGATGAGGTGGGTTCGTGGGCACCGGCGCTGGCACCGGCACCCAGCCCATCCCCGTGGGTGCTTACCAGCCTTGTCGAAGTACAGTGTGCGATTGGGGGTCCTGTGGATGTGGTCCCCCCAGCGCGCCTCCACCCAGGCTGTGGTGTTGGTGAGGACGTAGACGTGGTGATGCTTCAGGGTGTGCGTTGTCTTTGTGCCAGCCTGGAACCGTTGGCACCGCCTGGGCATTGTGTAGCTGGAGATGGAGCGGGCGCAAGGTTGAGTCTGGATGGGTTTGGGATGCGGGCGGTACACATCCCCACGTGTCGCTGTCGGGACACATCCTGTGGCCCCCCCAGGATGCGGTGGCTGCTCACCAGAGTGTCAGGACATAGGAGGTGTTGCCAGCAGGGCCGAGGGGTGGCCAGGAGCAAAGGAACCAGCGGAAGCCACATCGCTTCCAGCAGGAGAGGCCGGGGTCCGCAGTGGTGCCTATGGGAGAGAGCAGGGACTGGAGGCTCCGGGATGCCAGTGGGTCGGGCAAGGCTGGGATGGAGCAGCAGCGTGGCCATTGCCTGACCACATTGCTCACCCAGAGATGAATCTCACCCCAAAAACAACCATTTCCACCCTCCCGCGGCCCTTATCACCCCTGAATCATTCATTGAAAGTGTCTTGCAGTTATCTCCCATCTCCCACCTCCCACAGCAGCACTTACCGCCCGCCACCAATGCCACCAGCAGCCACCCCAGCATCGGCCACCCCAGTACCGGCCGCCTGGGCTGTCCCACGCTGGATCCAGGGCTCTGAAGCCCTTCCTGGCTCCCTGCTCCCCTGGTACCCAGCGGGTGCTCCCCACAGCTCAGCAGCAGCCCCAGCTCTCAGCGCGCACCCCGTGTTTCCTCTTGTGGCAGCGGCTTTGCCGAAGGGCGGCCGTTCGCAGGCAGGGCAGAGCGCAAGGCACGGCTGCAGGGCTCACTTGGACCAAAAGCAAAAGAGAAAGCACCCGAAATATCCCCCTTTTGTGCCGGCAGGACTCAGCCCAACCCTGCCCCGGCTGCACCGCGTGTCCCGGCCACGCCACGTGCCCCAGCCTGTGAGAACCGCAAGGTAAGCAAAGATGTCTTGGGGTTTTGGAGGGGGATGCTTTATTCTTTGCCGTGGTTTTGGTCCCCTGCCCTGAGTGGGTCTCGAGTGGCTGCTCCAAGGTGGGGTTGTTGGGTTTGCAGCAGTGTGAGTGTGCACCCACGCCAGCACCGGGCTCCTGTGCCCATCCCCGGCACAACTTGTCCCCTGCAGGCACAAACAAAGCCCCAGTGAGGGACACGGTGTCACTGGGACAACGCTGGCAGCCGCGTGATGGGACGGGTGACCCCGCGATGCTGGAGCCGGGTGGCACCGAGGGCCATGCACAGAGTCCCCTTGTTCCCACAGAGAGTGTCCCCTTGTGTGGCTTTCACTCAGGGCAGCCATGGCCGGAGCATCCCTGCACTGGGACAGTGCTGTTGGGACCCCTCCATTGCACTGCATGGCCGGGGTGTGAGGGTATAGGAGGTCCCCTGGCACCTCCTGCCTCGCTGTGCCATGCCAAACCAAGCCATGCCAGCCTGTGCCATGCTGCAACACACAGCAGGACTGGGGCTGGGCTGAGTGGGCCGTGCCATGCTGTATGTAGCATGCCATGCCAGGCTGGGCCATGCAGGACCATGCCAGGCCAGGCTGGGCTGCGCTGGGCAGTGCTAGGCTATAAGGACCGTGCTGTGCCATAGGGCTGGACCGCACCGAGCCAGGGTGGCTTTTCCTGTGTCAGTCCCATGCCATGCCGTTCTGAGCCAGGCAGCCCCGTGCTGTGCCACGCTGTGCCGTGCTGGGCTGGACCCGGACCCATCCACCGAGACTGTGCCAGCCCTGCGCTGTCCCGACCCGTGCGGTGCCAGCCCCATGTCCTGCGCTGGGCTGCGCGGAGCCGGGCGCTCTGTGCCAGCCCCGGGCTCGATGCTGATGCGCGTCCGGTGACGCGGAGGGGCCGCTGGGCGGCGCCCCGGGAGGAGCGGGCGCAACGGGAGGCGGCGGCGGCGGCGGCGGGGATGGACGAGCCCAGCATCCTGCGGCGCCGGGGCCTCCAGGTGAGCACCGGGGAACGGGGAGGAGCCTCCCGGCAGCGGGCACGGGCAGCGGGTCCGGGGGGAGCGCAGGTGCGGTGAGGGGGGTGCTGTGGGTGCGTGTGAGAAGGGTGCTGCGGGTGCAAGAGGTGGGTGCTGGGGGTGAGGGATGGGTGCTCTGTGTGTGTGTATGGAGCGGGTGATGTGTAGTGGGAGTTGGGTGCCCTGCGGGTGTGCGTGTGCTAGAATTGGGTGCTGTGCGTGGGAGTTGGGTGCTCTGGGTTAGGTGTCTGTGAGAGGTGGGTGCCGTGTGTGAGCAGTGTGTGATGGGGGTAACAGGAGCAGGGCAGGGTATGAGCCCCAGCCACACGCTGTGGGGTGATGGAGTGGCTGCACCCACTTGTGCAAGGGCTGGGGGCTCCCATGGGAGCACAGTGCACGATGCTGGTCTGTGCCAAACTGTTGTCCCAGCACTGATTTACCCCTCCAAAGAGCTGCCCCTTCCATCACCCTGTGTTCTGGCAGGCCAAGGGGTCTTTGCCCACCCTGTGCTTGGAGGGGTGACAACCGCAGCCCCCCCAGCACACAGAGCCCAGTTTTTGGAGTGTCCTCCCGCCTCCAGCCCCATCTGCGGAGCGGAGCCGCAGTAACGGGGGCCTGGCCTGAGCTGCCTGGGCGGTTGGAGGATGCACGGTGCTGCCTTCATCCAAGCTGGCAGTTCCGAGGGGCAGGCACGCTCCGCTGCGCGCTCAGCCCGGGAGGGAGCTGCGTGGGAGCTGTGGATGCAGCCGTGGCCATGGGCTCCGGGGCTCTTGGCTGTGGGTGTTGTTCCTGGCATTCCCCATGGAGAACAGAGCCATGGGCCCCAACTGCGTGCCCACATCCCCATGGCAGGAGGGGTGAGAAGGGGCTCCCACCAGGGAGCTGATCCCAAAGCACTGAGCAGTGACACCGTCCCCAGTGCCATCCCCGCAGGGATCAGCTGATGCTTAATCCCGGGATGTGCTGATGGGAGATGTGCTGTGCTGGATGAGCACATCAGGCACTCCATGGGTGCTGGTGCTGTGGTGCTGCCCCTCAGGGATCCTTCCCAGGGCTCTCAGGTGATGCTCTGCCTGTCCCTGGGGATGCAGCATGGCCACAGAGCCCATAGCAGTGATGGGTGTTGGGTGCCACAGGACCACTTTGCACTCCTGCACCCATAGATAAATGGGGAGGCTGTGTTGTGGAGCGTGGGGGACAAGGGTGTCTGTCCTCAGTCCCACTGTCCCATCTGCACATGGCTGAGCAGTAAAACCTTCAGTGTGACCCTTCTCTGCCCCGGGTCTGGTGGGGATCAGGGTGGGTGACAGCAGGGCTGGGTGAGGGTACTGGGGGGGGGGGGATCCTTCTCCAGGCAGGGACCCTGCACCCCCTTCCCCAGCCCAGCTCTGGGGTCACCCAGTGCTGCTGGGTGCACTGAGATGCAGGCACCCACTCCCTGCACTCACCCTTGCCTGCAGCACCCACCCCCAGCACCTACCCCCAGCACCCACCCTCGCCATCCCGGGGCACACAGACACCCGTGGGCTCGGGGAATGCGGAGTCCCTGTGCACCCAGGCATGATGTCACCGGTTGCCATGGCGATGCTGCTGCATCACTGCGTAGCAGCGCGCCCCAATCCCGGGATTTCCGCAGGGGCTGCGTGGCGTGGGCACTGGGATGAGGCACGGGCGCTCGGGGGCAGTGTGGGTGCATGGGTGCTGCTGCCGTCTGTCCCCATATGAGGAGCTCTTGCCCATGTCAGGAATGTGTCTAAGCTGCTTAGGGGTGCTGGGCAGGTGGGCACTGGTGGTGGGTGCAGGATCAGGGTGATGATGGGGTATTAACCAGCACATGCACCCGGCACATGTGCCAGCATCCTGCGGCATGCCAAGGCACAACCAGCCCCTTACACTGTGCCCATGGGGTCTGTGCCGCTCTGTATGGCACACAGGTGGGCACTGGCTCTGTGCCACAGCCACCCAGTGTCCGCCACACCGAGAGGATGATGTGGGATGGAATTCCTGCTTGCACAGCTGCCCTTTGCCCTGTGCCTGCAAGCAAACACAGCCCTTGCAAGGAATATTCCCAGTGGCTGGAAATACAAACAGCATGGGGACACCCGGCTGCTCCCCACACCCAGGGTTGGGGGGACAGGGCACAGCCATCACCCCGATACCACAGTGCAGCCAGGCAGCTGGGTGCTGCGCCCTCTCCACCACCCTTGTGCCCTCAGTCCCATGCCTGGCTATGGGACCACCAACCCCGGGGCCCCTTGTGTTGACCCTGGGTAGGGTGATTTGTAACCCTCACCCAGCACAGCAGAGCTGGGGCACAGTGAATGGGGCCCGATCCTGCAGTGCCAGGCAGTGGGGATGCTGCCAGGGGGTTGTCAGGAGGTGGGGGTCCCATTGCAATGCTTGGGGCCGTGCTCTCACCCTGCTTCTCCCTGTTCTCGTTGCAGAAGGAGCTGAGCCTGCCGCGCCGAGGAAGAGCGTAAGTCCCCGAGCTCAATGGGAGGGACATGGAGCAAGGCACCAGCACCATGGGGGGCAGCAGGGATGGGTCCCAAGTGTACCCAAATTCGGGGTGGCATCACCGTGTTCTCTGGTACCAGATGGGCCCAGCTGTGTGCGTGCTGGGGTGCACTGGGATGTACTGGTGCTGCGCTGCAGGTGTGCTGGGCTGTGGTAGGAGGTAGTTGTGCAGCTGTACTGGGGCGGTGTGTTGGTTGGCGTGTGTTTGGGTGTAGTGCGGCTGTTGCAGGGTGGTTTTGGGGTGTTGTGGAGGTAAGGCAGGAGGGGTTCTTGGCACTGGGCTGGTGCTGTCAGGGGTCACAGGGCTGCATGCTGGGGGACGTGATTGAGAGGGCACCAGAGGGATGCTAGGGACATACTGGGGGTGCAATAGGGGTGCACTGGAGCCATACTGGGGCTCTGTGGGATGCACTGGGGCTGTACTGGAAACTATGCTGGGGCTGCATTAGGGGTTCACTGGAGCTATACTGGGGCAATACTGGAAGCTGTGCTGCGGCTGCATTAGGGGTTCACTGGAGCCATACTGGGGCAATACTGGAAGCTGTGCTGCGGCTGCATTAGGGGTGCACTGGAGCCATACTGGGGCAATACTGGAAGCTGTGCTGGGGCTGCATTAGGGGTGCACTGGAGCCATACTGGGGCTCTGTGGGATGCACTGGGGCTGTACTGGAAACTGTGCTGGGCTGCATTAGGGGCTCACTGGAGCCATACTGGGGCAATACTGGAAACTGTGTCGGGGCTGCATTAGGGGTTCACTGGAGCCATACTGGGGCAATACTGGAAGCTGTGCTGCAGCTGCATTAGGGGTGCACTGGAGCCATACTGGGGCAGTACTGGAAGCTGTGCCTGGGGCAGCATTAGGGGTTCACTGGAGCCATACTGGGGCAATACTGGAAACTGTGCCGGGGCTGCATTAGGGGTTCACTGGAGCCATACTGGGGCAATATTGGAAACTGTGCTGGGGCTGCATTAGGGGTTCACTGGAGCCATACTGGGGCTCTGTGGGATGCACTGGGGCTGTACCGGAAGCTGTGCTGGGGCTGTATTAGGGATGCACTGGAGCCGTACTGGGGCTCTGTGGGATGCACTGGGGCTGTACTAGAAACTATGCTAGGGCTGTATTAGGGATGCACTGGAGCCATACTGGGGCAATACTGGAAGCTGTGCTGGGGCTGCATTAGGAGTGCACTGGAGCCATACTGGGGCTCTGTGGGATGCACTGGGCCTGTACTGGAAGCTGTGCTGGGGCTGCATTAGGAGTGCACTGGAGCCGTACTGGGGCTCTGTGGGATGCACTGGGCTAGACTGGAAACTGTGCTGGGGCTGCATTAGGGGTTCACTGGAGCCATACTGGGGCTCTGTGGGATGCACTGGGGCTGTACCGGAAGCTGTGCTGGGGCTGTATTAGGGGTGCACTGGAGCCATACTGGGGCTCTGTGGGATGCACTGGGCTATACTGGAAACTGTGCTGGGGCTGCATTAGGGGTTCACTGGAGCCATACTGGGGCTGTACCGGAAGCTGTGCTGGGGCTGTATTAGGGGTGCACGGGAGCCATACTGGGGCTCTGTGGGATGCACTGGGGCTGTACTGGAAACTGTGCTGGGGCTGTATTAGGGGTTCACTGGAGCCATACTAGGGCTCTGTGGGATGCTCTGGGGCTGTACTGGAAGCTGTGCTGGGGCTGCATTAGGAGTGTACTGGAGCCATACTGGGGCTCTGTGGGATGCACTGGGCTAGACTGGAAACTGTGCTGGGGCTGCATTAGGGGTTCACTGGAGCCATACTGGGGCTCTGTGGGATGCACTGGGCTAGACTGGAAACTGTGCTGGGGCTGCATTAGGGGTTCACTGGAGCCATACTGGGGCAATACTGGAAGCTGTGCTGGGGCTGCGGTGTGTCAGCACCAGCAGCACATCCTGGGCACGGTACGGAACTGATCGGGTGCGCCGGGGGTGTGGGGGCTGCCGAGCTGAGCCGAACCGAGCCGAGCCGAGCCGAACCGAGCCGAGCCGAGCCGAGCCGAGCCGAGCCGAGCCGAACCGAACCGAGCCGAGCCGAGCCGAACCGAGCCGAGCCGCAGAGGCGGGCCCGGGCCCGCCGGGCCGAGCAGGGATCCCCGCCGGGGCCGCCGCCCGCCGTCGGGAGCCGCCCAGCGCGGGGGAGCCGGGGCGGCGGGAGCGGAGCGGGGCGGCGGCGGCGGCAGCGCCATGAAGTCGCGGCGGGACAGGCTGAAGATCCCCTCGCTGACCTTGGAGTGAGTCGGAGCCGGGGAGGGGCTCGCCGGGACCGGGACCGGGAGCGGGCTACGGGCGGCAGGGCCCCGGGGCATCCCCGTCCTGTTGCATCCCCGTCCCGGAGCATCCTCATCCCTGTCCATCCCGCTGTACCTGCACCCCCGCGCCGCTGGTCCCAGCCCTTCCTCCTGCATCCACAGCCCCGGCTCCCCCCGGGAGCATCCTCTCTCCCCCGGCAGCACCAGACCACCCGCTGTATCTCCAGCAGCCTTAGACCCCGCAGTGTCCATGCAGTCCCCTCTGCTCCCCACCTTTCTCCCCACCCCAGTCCTGGTTCCCCCTCCAGCCCTTGTCCCCTCTACTGTTTACCCCTGGCCCCATCGCCCCCCACCCCAGCCCTACCGGGGGGGCTGTGGCTGTGCCGCCGGGCTGCCCATGGCGCCCGCTGACGCCGCACCGGCACGTCTTGCCTTGCAGCTTGTCACCGAGCAGCCAGAGCCCGACGCTGCTGAGCCCCTGCAGCCCCTGCAGCCCCTGCAGCCCCTTGTTAACCCTGCACCCCTGGAGGTAAGACCCCCCCAAACCCTCCCTGGACACCACAGCTGCCAGCTCTGGGGAGCAGAGTAGGTAGAGGGGGAGTTGGGGGCAGCAAGGTGGGTCCCCCCCCGCCTGCGGTGCCCTGGGGGTCCTCAGAAGCAGCGCTGTCTTCTGCAGGGTGCTTTGGGCAACATGGCTGTGGTCTGCTCCCAGCCCTGTGCACCCCAAAAGTGCCCTGGCCATGCTGGTGGGCCCCATCTCTGCGGCCAGCTCCCACTTTGGGGACCCCACTGGGGACACCATCACTGTAGCCCAAGCTTTGGCACTGAGCATCCTCGTTTTGAGGGGGGATCACTTTGAAATAGGATCAGGGATGGGCACCATGATGGGAGCAGGGTGAGAGTGGGGGATTGTACCTTCACCCCTTGAGAAACCTCTGGGGTTTTTCTGGGGGATGGGTGTCCCCCACCCCAAATGCCACCAGCCCCTTGCAGTGCCCCGATGGGTGCTGCTGTCACAGAGGCGGGTGGCTGGACCCTGCTGCATGTGCTGGCTGTGCTATGCCTCGGGGACAAGGTGCAGCGGGTGTGCTGGCACCCTGCAGTCACACCCTGGCCCTGTGCCCCATGGCGCCTGTGGGGCAGAGCTGCGGCCTGCTCAGCACCCATGGGTGCTGCTGGGTGCCTCCATCCATCTGCTGGGTGATGGGGCACCATTGGGGAGCTCTGCTGCTGCCCAGCAACAGGCAGACCCATTGGGTGCAGGCCGACAAGAGGTACCCGACCTGCACATGGGAGTCCGTCCCTGCCACCACTAGCCCTGGCTGGCCACCCCTTGCCCACAGTGACTGTGGCATGTGGGAAAACACGTGTGGCCATGCAGTTGCTCAGCTAAGGCTTTGGGGAGGGGGGGCGTTTTGGGGATGCTTGGGATAGGGACACGATAGGAACGAGGATGAGGATAATGGCAGACAGTCTGGCAGCATCCCTGCGTGCATCCACGTGCTGGCATCTCGAGGTTGCCTGGCACGAGGCAAAGGGAAGCGTGGTGCTGCCGTGGTTGATGCTGTCCTTTTGCCATGCTGAAACCCTGCCCAAACCCAGGGGCATCGGGGTTCCTGGCTGTGGCACTGACCGGTGAGCATGGCAGTGCCACCCTATGCGGCTGGGGACGGTGCAGCCACGCCGGGTGTTGTCACTGGCACTAAGGAGGATGGATGGCACTGGGTCTTTGCTCAGGATATCCCCCATTGAATGCAAAAGCTGGGACAGTGATTGTGGGATGCTGCTGGGGCTGAGCATGGTGTCCCATGGGTGGCAGGGTGCTGTTAGGGGGGTGCTCCCCCCTGCCGAGGGACCCCCAGGCTTTGAGCCACCCCTGCTGACTTGGAGGGGAGGATTCATGCCCCTTGAATGCATCAGCAGCGGATGCTGCATCTCCATGGTAACCTGACCCCATTTGGGGATGCTGCCCCATCCCTATGGTAACCTCAAGCCTCATTTTGGGGTGATGCCCCATCTCCGTAGTAATTCTGACCTTATTTTGGGGTGCTGCTCCATCTCTGTGGCAACTCTGAACCCTTTTTTGGTGATGCCTTGTCTCCATGTTAACCCTGCCCTCATTTTGGGGTGCTGCCCCCCCTATGTGGCAATCCTGAGCTCATTTTGGGGTGATGCTCCATCTCCGCGTTAGCCCTCACCCCAATTTTGGGGTGATGCCCCACATCTGTGGCAACCCTGAGCCCGTTTTTGGGGTGATGCTCCATCTCCAAGGTAACCCCGACCCCATTTCGGGGTGCAGCCACGTCTCTTCACTAACCCCGACCCCATACTGGGGCACTGCCTCGTTTCCATGGAAACCCCCCCCTCCATTTCCCCTCCTTTTGGGGGTGCTACCCCTGTCTCCATGGATATCCCGGCCCCGTTTGGGGGCGCTGCCCGTCTCCATGGTAACGGGAAGGGGCGGGCGGCAGCGGGCGGCGGCGGCGGGAGCCCGGCCCCGGTCCCGGTCCCAACCCCAACCCCGGGCGCGGTCCCGGCCCCGCGCGCCCCCGGCGGCGCCGCTCGGCCGTGCCGGTGCATGCGGCCGGGCCCCGGAGGGACCGAGCGAGCCGCGATGTCGGACCCGAGCTGCTGGGGAGCGGCTCGGCCCGGTTACCGGAGCCAGCGGGCGGCCGGAGCCCTGCTC